TTCATTTCAAGGTACTATCATGTATAAAACCCTGTATGGCCTTGGACCCTCATATTTGCAGGACTGCCTGTCCTCCTATGTTCTACTATCACAGCTTCATCTGTTCAGGGCCTTCTGTTGGTGCTACCTTGCAAATGAGTAAAATCAGCAACCACCCACACACGTTTTCTCTATTACGCCCCCTTTTTGTGGAATGGCGTGCCAGGGGAGGTCAGGAGGGCTCCTGCGCTTCTTTCATTCTGTAGACTATGTCAGAGCTGTTCAGGAAGGCTTTTCTACAGAGGTAAAAGGTAAAGGTTCCCTTGCTCGAAAGCCAGTCGAGTCCGACTCTAGGGTTGCGGTGCTCATCTCCGTTTCAAAGCCGAAGAGCCAGCGCTGTCCGAAGACGTTTCCGTGGTCATGTGGCCAGCATGTCTAAACATGAAGGTGCACAGAACGCTGTTACCTTCCCACTGAAGTGGTACCTATTTATCTACTTGCAATTTCTTGCTTTCGAACTGCTAGGTTGGCAGGAGCTGGAACTAGAGACGGGAGCTCACTCCATCATGCGGCAACTTGGGTCTCGAACTGCTGAACTGCTGACCTTCCACAGCCTGTAGTTCAGCGTCTTAACCACTTGAGCCACGGTTGAGTAAGGCACTTTATAAAGGAAATGGGAAATGCTGACTATACCAACTGTATACAGGTTTTTTCAGTTTGCTGTATGTATTACTGTCATCACTGCACTAATTTTCTACAGATGTAATGCCATTTTCTGCATTGTATCTGCAACCTGTATAATGTCAAATTAAAATATGCTGTGCTCTTCCAGATTTCTGTAATCCTGGTCCTAGTACATTGCTTATTAGATGACTCACTATATTAATTGTATCGACTTACTGTGTACTCCATCTTGTGTCTCTGTGAGAGAGGGAGGGAGCGAGCTGGTACATGGATTCATATCAAAGGTGACAATCCTTCAGAAACAGTTGTCACTTGTTCTCCCTCAATGTTTGATTTGGCCTTAATTCTTAAACTATAACTTCCAATAGAATAATTTAAATTGTGTCTACATTGCAAATTTATCAAGCAAACAACATGATCCACAATCAGACCAAGACAAAACATTTGGTAATAAACAGCTTTGAACTATGATCAATTTCTGTGGCAGGATCCAAGACATCAGAAACTGTCTGAATACCTTCAAAGCCCCTCAGATTCTGAGCTCACAAACACCACAAGAATTCACTTAAGTTTATCAAAAAGAATGTTCGTATACTATCAGTGCATGCTGGTTCCAAGCCTCTAGCTGTGTCCAAATCACAGACTTTAAAAGCAAAGCTGTTCCCGTTATCTGAAGATGAAATGTGCGGTTTCTAACCCAAAGTCAGTCTCAAAAGAATATTTCAGGTAATTCATGCCACATTAAAACAAACAGAATATAGAGGAAACTTAGCTTCTTGGCCAGTTTTACCACAAGCCGTCTAATGAGGGATCCTTACCAGCTTGTGAAAGGTAGAGCAAAGGCTCAAAGCCCAGTCACAGCAGGATGCCAAGCACAGTCAGCTTAGTAATGAGCCATTCATAATGTAATAATTTGCACTTCTATATTACTAAAGGTGGCTCAGTTTCACTCTCTGCTGTACAGAAATTGTGTATACTAGACAAGAGGATAGTGGGCAACTCTGGGAAACTACAGATTTGGGAGTCTGAATTCTCAGAAACACAGAGGCTGGGATGCATTTCTATTTTAGATAAAACGAACTGGAATAAAGGAAAACAACAACATTAAGATTTATCTCAGTAGATGTTTTTATGTTTTGGCTATATAGTAACATTGGTATATGAGTTCATTTAGATTTAACTTCAGATTTACTTTGTAAGTATATTATCACAAGGCCTTTTCAGATTCTTCCCAACTGGACTGTCACACAAGATACAAGAAAACCATGGACATTCTCTCTTAAATTGAGTATCTGCACATTTCGTTTATAGTGATATTTTTGAACTGCCTGGATAAATTCAGAGTGGCAAGCATCAGTTTTGCGTTGTATCTGTGCATTTGTTTTTATTTCTAACATTGTTCCTTATACCTGAACTGAAGAATTCTGCTTCAACAACTTTTATTCCATGGTTCCTGGAAAAGAAATTCACTCATTCTATGGAAAGGCTTCAGACATTACATGGAAGTGGAAATATGGAAGAGAAGAGGATGCAAAATATACTTTGATTCCTGGTAATGCCTGAAAGAGGGATCCTCACATCTTCAGGTATTACACAGGAAGGACAAATCACAAAGGCTCTCCTCCCCTCACTCCCATTTGACTTTGTGATGCTCACAGGTGCACTAAGGAACAAACTTTAATGAGAGGATGCAAAAAGGGACTTCCAGTTTATGGAGCAGCAATGGCGGATGTTCTCCCCAAACCACGGGAGAGCGATCCACACACCAGCGCCTTGGAGGGGTGCCACCTCAAATGACACCCCCACGGAGCCTTTGTGATAGGCTCCAGGCCAGGGGGCTTTTGAGGTGTAGCCTCTTCGATGGCATAATGCCAGAGAATTGAGGCTTCCCTCCGCCCTGATGGTCCAGATGCTGTGTGGCCTTCGGGCACTAGCTTGTTTGATTGGGACAAGCGCCAGAGATCGAGCGGAATGGAGTTTAAGTGAGCGAGGTCAGAGAAACTGACTGACAATGAACGTGAGTTCAGAATAAACTGGATTATTGTAAAAGCGGATTTCCCCCCCCCCCCAGTAAAAGCGGACGCAAAGAGGGATGCCTCTTATGCGAATGAACTGATAAACAATATGAAGGGGGAGAGGGGAGGAAACACAACGAGGGTGTTTTGACAGACTTACTTAATTATCGTCATCGTGGGGCGATTTTTCAAGCCAGGAAGAAGCGTTAGAAATTGTAAACAAATTGGAGAAAATGGCATCCCAGCAAAGAAAGCTGAAAACGAAACTGCCGGGCAGCCAGAGCCCAAACCCGGAAGAGGGAGCAGACGTCATTAAAATGTTAGTGGATATGCTCAAGCCGGTGATGGAGCAACTCGATGGTATTAACCAGCAATTGACCATGATGAATAAGAACTTTGCATCTCAGCAGCTCCAGCTGAAAGAAACAAAGAAGAAAGTGGAGCAGGCAACTGAGAAAATTAAAGAGATAGACACCACAAGCAAGAAATTGAAGAAAAGAATGGGAGAAGTTGAAACAAAGCAAAACTTCCAAGAAAGCCGTTTGCTGCAACTACAGATGGAAAAAGCTAACATGATTCTCAGGTTCCAGGGAGTTCCTGAAGCAGAGAAGGAGGACCTGAGGAGGTTGCTTAGCGAGATCATCGCTCCAGCAATAGGCTTAACATAGGATGAGTTGGTAAAAGAAATGGAGATGGCCTACAGGGCATACTCCAATTATATTTAAAAAAACAGCTTGCCTGGAGAAATTGTGGTCAGATTCTCAAGAAGACAAGACCAGAGATGCTATCTTAAAAGCGACATCAGCAACTCCACTGAAAATGGGAAATATAACCATCAAAACCTTAAAAGACATTCCATTTGAAATCCAACAAAAGAGGAAAAATTATAAGGATTTAATTTCTTTCCTTCAAACTAATGGAATTTCGTATTGGTGGGCGATTCCGGAGAGTATCATCTTTAAGATCAACGATAAAAGAGAGAAGACAGACACCACTTTCAAAGCTAAAGAGTTTTTGCGGTGCCAGTTGGGAACGAAGGAAGAGTCCAAGGAGGAGGAAACGAAATCTAGTGACTCTGCCACCTTGGGAACAGAAGAGGACTCTGCTGCAGAAATGGGAGCAGGTGCTGCCAGAGTTGTATATGACTTTAGAGACAGAAAGCCGAAGTAAAGGCAGAAGGACTCGGAAAATAGCCTTTTGAAGCAAAGAACAAGAAGATTATGAGGAAGTTCTCTCATAACAACAAACATATTAACACATAAACATTGAAGCTGAAACAAGAACTCTACAAGTATATTGTGATACTAACACTTATGGTATTAACACTTACATTAACAGGGATAAGATCGCCTCCTCTTGGGGTTTTAGTATAGTCTGGTTATCTTTTCTTTATCCCTAGATGTAGTTCCCTCCCTAATATTTTCTTTGTAGCTTTGTAGTTTATTGCAAAAATAAAAATATCCCTTCGGGGATTTTAAAAAAGACAGAGAGGATGCAAAAAGCAGTAACACAGAGAGATTCCCATTTAAGAGTGAGAAGCAGTTGGCCAAGTGTCACTCATATTCCACTTTGATCTGAGGATACCATGCAGGAAATACAAACACATCCCTTCAGAAGACTTAGTCTACCCAAATGACATTTGTCAGGGAGGGAGGGAGTCATCTTGCTTCCAACTTCTCAAAACCAGTGCTCTACTTTCAAAGGCTAGAGGCTTATCTTAACCTCAGATATTTATCATATTATTATCTTTAACTTCCTTCAAGGGGTTGAAGGCAATGTAACATGGTTCTCCTCTCCTCATTCACTATACTGAAAACAATACTGTGAGGTGGATTAGGCTGAGATGCACCAGTGTCACCCTGTGAACTTCTCAGCTGAGTAGATTTGAACTTGGGTCTCCCCAATCCTACTCTAATACATGAACTGCTATGCCACAGTGGATCCTGAAACTGCATTACAAACTTATCTACAGTACAGGCAAGGTGAACTGATAGCCACTCTTTCAGGATACCAGGGAACTACAGGGGAGTGTTGCTAGGGGTACATCACCACCCTCATCTTACTACATCTCCCATTACAGCTATACTATTGCAGTTATACCAGCATAAAACTGACACAAGTTTATTTGCATGGATATGCCCGTACTGAATAATACCCCATTTAGTAATTAACTAGAGGAACTTTTCTCAGTATACATTCAACAGAGCAAATTTACTTTTCTTCACAATCATGGAAGAAAGGACTCCTTTCCCGCCAACTGCAGTAACTTTTTCTTAAGGAAGATAACAAGTAAGAGCTCTTCAAAGAAAAAAAAATCCCCACCTCAGGAATACGAACACTATACGGCTGATTGTGAAACCTTGGAACATTGTCGTTCACATCTCCAACTTGGATATTCACCGAACCCTTGATCACCTATGAGCCAAATGACAAACATAGATTTTAGTCATCCATATTAAGGACATCTGAATTTTATTCAAGACTCAAGAAGCAAGCACACACCAAGAAACACATCGACAAGCACCTGTTGGGATCACTGGCCTAAAAGATAGTAAAGATGGAACCAAGAGAATTTGCCGGGGAGGAGGAGCTCAAAAGATTGGATGCCACCACAGAAAGAGGTGGCATACAGTCTGTAGAAGGCAGATGCATCCATTCAAAGGGGCATTCGGTAAAGGATAAGTTGCTTTGGCAGACCAACTGTGCTGATTTTTTTAAAATCCTGCATAACATATGTGCTGTGTTTACTTGTTTGTGTTGAGTTATATTGCTTTAATGCATTTGCAACTTGTCACTATTTAGCCACCCTGAGTCCAAGGAGATAAGGTTGGAAACTCTCCAAGGTGCTACTGGACTCAAATCTAACTGACCAATACGACTACCCTCTGAAAATATTATGTGAACGGGAACAAAAAGCATCAAATACAAGAAAACATTATCAATAAGCACCAACTATTTTAAACCGCTAATAAGAAACAAAAGATCAGTTTGTAAATAACAGAAATCTAAATCCTTGCTTTAATGGGCAAATATTAATTGTCACTGTCCCTTAGATACAAACTGAAAATGCATTCAGGTAGGCAGCCAGAAAATGACTATCTTTATAACGTGTGAATAATCCACATGTGAATTAGAGATCCATGAATGGAAGAGAAGTTTCCCAGAGCATTTCAAGGTACTTCCTTCATTTTCACATCTGACCATTCACATATTGCAAAGACTCTACACATTTATAATTTTCAGCACTGTAACAACACAATCTTCTTTAGCCATTTTTGTTGCAGCTTCTCTACAGGCATTTTCAGAACTATAAGTGGGGGGAAATCATCACAAGCAACCCTAAAGACATTTCTTTAAAGCACATTTCCTTTAATCTTAGACATATATCAGCATTTTTCTGGGAACAGTGTACTCCTGAATAAATAATGTCACCATTCCATCCCCCACAAAGCTTATTCTTTCTAGAACACAAAAAGCTGGGGGTCTACAAAGAATCATGTGGAGGAGACAGAACAATTTGGAAATCCATCCCCATCCCACCACCCAATTTTCCTTTCCAGGATTCAATAAGCTCCCAGGGGCTTGAGCAAGCTAATTCCTCTTTCACTAAATCCCAACTACTCTCTCAGCATTCCCTCCTTTCTGGAGCATATTCAGTCCTCTTTGGGCCAAGGAGGGAAGGAACTCCCCTCCCCTATCTTATCTGGAGGTGGCCTGATTTTCTTAACAGGGGCCAGTCACTTTACAATTATATACAGTAATAATATACCTGATGCCGTGACACTTATAAGCTTTTATGTAAAAGAAAACAATAATACACATGGATATGCTTCCATACAATACACTATTGTGCTCAAAGAACACAGGCTTCAAATGTCTGTGTGCGCCCCCTAAGACAGTCATGATCCCACATTCATAGGAGCTCTCCTTTAGGGAACTGCTAGGACTGCAGGGACCGTGATATCCACTTCACACAGAACACTGTCCAAATCGTCTCTCTCTATTTTTGACTGTAAAACAAATGTCATGCTTACCCCTTGGCTGTCACTGACAGAAAACTCAACTGTGAATTCTGACTTGGTCTGAAACGAGAAGAAAGAGATATAATTAGAGATGCCACAATGGTAATCTGTTGATAGAAGGCTTTGGACTTGAGCCGAATATAATTACAAGCTTTCGCAGACTGGAAGGAGCAGGGGAGGCATCCCAGGAATAACTGCACAAACCCGGCACAAGACTGCAATGCAAGCGCACTCTAACACTTATATCAAGGGGACTGCAACAAAGGGACTACTGTTGGTCAAGAACTGCTTCTTAACTGCTAATATTTTGAGGACAATATGAGAGGTTCAGAAAAATCAGAAAAAGAGAATTAAGATAAGAGTTTTCTGAATTACACAACTTTCTTTTAGAATTCCATATACACACACCACTTCATGTTTATAAAGATAACTGGGGGTCCCCCTCACTCACACTTTTTTTTAAAGAGTAGCAAGAGATAAAATAAAGCACAAGGTGACAGGAAGAAGGACCTTTTCAATAGTGGCATGGCACTCCAATTCTGAAATAATCTCCTCTGATGTATTCAAGATGCAACTTCATTAATTTTAAAGGTAAAGGTTTTCCTTGCTTGAAAGCTAGACAAATCTGACTTTAGGGGGCGGTGCTCATCTCTGTTTCCAAGCCGAAGAGCCAGCGCTCTCCGAAGACGTTTCCGTGGTCATGTGGCCAACATGACTAAACGCCGAGGCATACAGAATGCTGTTACCTTCCCACCGAAGCAGTACCTATTTATCTACTCGCAGTTTCTTGCTTTCAAACTGCTAGGTTGGCAGCAGCTAGGGACAATAAAAATTCCATTTTCTAGAGCTTTTAGTGATCTTTGCTTGCTGCTGTTCTATGACATTATTATTCTATGATATTATTACTGAAGTTTTGATCTCATCTGGTTTATGGGATGGAGTCTTTGGACTACGGTTGTCTGTCTTATTGCTTTTGGCTATTTTCATCTGTTGGTTAAACTTGGTCTTCATGTACACCAATTGTAGACTTTTAGAGTATGAAAGAAAATTATACATGCATATAGGAGAGGGAAACTGCTGCAAAGGGCATAGGATGTGGCAAGTTCACACAATTCTATTTGGATTTATCTTAATAAGTGGTATTGTATGCCTTCTGTTTTGGGATTTTACTATGGACCAGCATCATTTACTTCTTTAGCCATTTTTTAACAAATAAAAATACTGGATAAACAAATATCTGCTTGCTTCAGGAGCATGTATGCAAAAACTGGATAAGCAAATTACCAGTAATGCCGTGAAACATACATTTATACCATTTTAATTACCTTTATAACTATATTCAATCAGACAATAGTTTCCAGTAAAAATCTGACCACCACTACTTTTTCACAAATACATATGCAGTTGCTCATTATTAATGTGCTTTTACTTTGAGTTGATTATGCTTTTGTGACACTTTCCGGTTCACCAGCCACTTAGATACAACAGTTTTCTCTGAAGAAGTATGTTTTGCACAGGAAAGCTTACACTTTGAAAAAAACTCATTTGATCTAAAGGTGCCACTAGACTCAAACTTTGTTCTTTAGACACAACCAGTTAGCCTGATCCCAAACTGCCCCATTTTGCTCAGTCTCTCACCTCCACCACAGATCTCTATCCAAAATCATAGTAATGCGCTCAATAGCTTCCCATTTCTGTCACTGCTCCTTCAGAGGATCCTTTTGCCTCCTCCTCCACTTCTTCAGTTCCACCAACCCAACTGTTTTTTCCAACTGTCATTCTTCCTCTCTTATCACTAAACCCTCTAGCATTCTATTGTCTCCTTAACAACCAAAACCTTGCTTTCTTCTTTGGGACCATTGTTTGCATAAATTCATCTCCATTGTTACAACATGAAAGAAAAGAACCTTAAAGGGGTACTCCTATGGACAGGAGGCTCTCCGACCTCTGAAGGGAAAAACAGCCCTAAGGCTAAGCCTATGGGAGTGCTGCTCTAGCATCCAATCACCTTGAGGAGGAGGGAGGATGGGACACTGGAGGGTAGCACAGCAGGGGTTTAGTTAAGATCTGTCTCTTAGAGAGTACAGTGATGGTTTGGGGGTCTGCCTCAGAAAAAGAGCAGACAGTTTGAAGGGTAGCTCTGCCTGGTAGTGTGGCAAAGTGGTTTAACTCTACCTCTGGGAGAGAATAGAGGACTCAGTTGTTAGACTTGTCTCTGGTGATGAGCAGATCTTGTACCATTTAGTCTGACTCTTGGGAAAGGTCACGTTTGTGTGGGTGGAATCCTGTGCATGTGAAAGGAACCAAACTAGTGGCTTGTCAGTGAAAGCCTGTCTGTACCTTGTAAGCATTAAAGTGAAATCAAACTACACTCTCAAGCCATAAAAACAGGTTGCTTACCTGTAACTGATGATCTTTGAGTGGTCATCTGTGCATTCACACCCATGGGATTCAGTGCACATGCGCTGGATCGATCGGTATTGTAGCAAGCTCTTTAACGGATTTTCACGGCCAGACCTCGGGCATGCGCAGGAACCCCACCGCGCATGCCCAGGGGGGAGGGCGTGGACATCCTGCCAGTTCCTTCAAACCACCGTGAATCAACCCCTATTGAAAATGTAGAAGCTGACAGCAGCGGGGAAGGAGGGCAGGTGGTGTGAATGCACAGATGACCACTTGAAGATCATCAGTTACAGGTAAGCAACCTGTTTATCTTCGACGTGGTCTTTGTGCTTCACAACCATGGGAGAATAGCGAGCAGTGGCCTACCCGGAGGAGGGTGCTGGCAGGTCCTTACTGCGTAGCCGAAGATAGAATGTGACATCCCATGTTGGTATTAGAGTTCTTCCGGACGTCTAGGGCGTAGTGCCTTCTGAAAGTGTTAGGCGTGGCCCAGGTAGCGGCTTTGCAAATGTCCGTTAAAAGAACTCCATGAAGGAAGGCAGTGGAGGCTGCAACAGCTTGGGTTGAATAGGCCCTGGTAGGGCCAGGCAATGGCTGTTTGGCGATCAGATAGCAGAGGCGGATGAGCCCCGCAATCCACTTTGAGAGGCGCTGAGCCATGATGCAAGTCCCCAGCCTTGCTGGTGCGTACGAGATGAACAGTTGGGAGTCACGTCTCGCTGGGCGGGTTCTGTTCAGGTAGAACAGGAGCGCATGCTTCACATCCAAAGTGTGTAACAGTCTGTCCTCTGAGGATGTCAGAGCCGGAAAGAAATCCGGGAGGAAGACCTCTGCCTGTAGGTGAAATTCTGACACTACCTTTGGCAGGAACGAGATCTCAGGTACGAGGCGGACACCGTCTGGCAAAAAGGACAAGTAAGGTGTGTCATATCTGAAAGTCAGTATTTCTCCAACTCGCCTCGCAGAGGTGACAGCAACCAGAAAGGCCGTCTTCCACGACAGGAATTTCATGTCACAAGTTGCGAGTGGCTCAAAGGGTTTCCTTGTGAGCTGACGAAGAAGGTCCCAGGGAACGACAAGAGTTTTCACAGGAGGGCAGAGATGCAATAAACCTTTTAAAAAAACGTTTTGAAAGCGGATGTGAAAACAGTGTGCATCCGTCAACTTGAACATGGTAGGCCGAAAGTGTGACCAGATAAACTCTTAACGAGGAGTGAGAGAGTCCCGAGTCAGCGAGGGACAGGAGGAATTGGAAAACTTTCTCAAGACCCACGGAGGTGGCTCGAGGGGCATCGTTACCCTAGTGGTAGACCCCTGCTGACAATTAGAGGATGGTCAAAAACCATGGTTGCCTCGGCCACCACGGGGTTATCAAGATGCAGTTCGCTCCATCGCTGATGATTTTGCGAACCACTCTCAGAAGCAGGGGTAGCGGAGGGAACAGGTAAAGAAGCCCTGTGGACCACGGATAGAGGAGACCATCCCCTAGAGACTGTGGGTCCGTGCCACCTTGACTGCAGAACAAAGGACACTTTTTGTTGGTTCTGGTGGCAAAAAGATCAACTTGGGGAACTCCCCACCTGTGGAAGAGTGGGAGGAGGTAGGTTGGGTTCATTTCCCACTCGTGAAGGCTGAGTCCTGCTCGACTCAGATGGTCTGCCTGCACATTCATGTGACCCAGGATGTGCGTGGCTACCAGGAAAACGTTGTGGGCGATGCAAAGGTTCTACAACTGGATGGCAAGGTTGCAGAGGCGTAGGGAACCAGTGCCCCCTTGCTTGTTGACATAACTGAGTGCAGTAGTGTTGTCCGTGAGGACCATAACACATTTCCCATTGATCAGAGGTAGGAAGCTGTTGACAGCGAACTGTATTGCAAGCAGTTCCAGGAGGTTTATGTGTCGCTTCCATTTCTGCTTCCAACACAAAGGCCCATCATGTGGGCACCCCAGCCCGACAGGGAGGCATCCGTGGTCAGGGTGATTTGGGGTGATGAAGGATGGAAAGGTGCACCCTGGAAAAGATTGGAAGGGACAGTCCACCAAAGTAAAGACTGTCGTATATTGGGAGGGGGGGGTTAGGACGGTGGTATGTGCGTTTTTCGTTGGGTCGAAATTGCGGATAAACCAAAGTTGGAGGTGGCACATTTTTAGTTTGGCAAAGACCAGGACCGATGTAGTTGCGGCCATAAGGCCAAGCAGCCTCTGTATTTCGAAGGCCGTGACTGAAGGTTGGGTACGGACGACAGTGGCTAGGTGGATGATGTCTGCCGCTCTGTTTTGTGGCAGGTAAACCATGCATGTCTTGGAATCCAGCAGAGCACCTGTGTATTGTATTCTCTGGACCAGTTGAAGTTGAGACTTTTCCTGATTGACTTGCAGGCCCAGGTTCTCCAGAAGTGCCAGTGTCTCATTGATGTTTGAGACCAGGGCATCTGTGGAGGATGCTACCAGGAGCCAATCATCGATGTATGGGTAGATGGAGATACCCTTGAGGTGGAGGAAGGCTGCAACGACAATCATAGTCTTTGTGAAGACTCTTGAGGCGCTTGAGAGGCCGAATGGCAGGGCTGCACATTGGTAATGCTGTTGACCAATTGCGAAGCGTAAGTATTGGTGGTGGGAGGGGTGGATGGTGAGGTGGAAGCATGCGTCTTGG